ATTTATGTTTTCTATTTCAATGTTGCTATTTTCCTAGTACAAATTATAATGTTTGTTATTGTTACCATGTTGTAGTTCCGTGACGATGGAGGCACCGTCATTGACTTAGAAGGGAAGGTTGTGGGAATTGTTAACAATCAAATCAATGAGATCTTTTTACCCTCTTCTATATTGCATAAGTGCTTGAATTCATGGAGAAAGTTGAAGTACGACCCTTATTCCCAATTCCTTTTTTGTGTTGTTAATTAAGATAATGCATTCTCTTATACTCCAGATTACGATTGAACAACTACAAAGTTATTATGCCCGGATTACGATTGCTTAACAATTACTACATTTGAAAGAATTGCTAAAATATGGTTTATAAAAATCATTATGTTTAGGTCTAGGTGCTATACATAAAATGGGTCTAACATTATAGAGAAAATGTGTGTTGACCACCTTATCAAATTATGAAAGAATTGCTAAAATATGGTTTATAAAAATCATTATGTTTAGGCCTAGGTGCTATATATAAAATGGGTCTAACATTACAGAGAAAATGTGTGTTGATCACCTTATCAAATTATGCGTGCCTTCCCAACTATTTCTATGCAGGGTATAGGAACTAAATTTGGTGTAAAGATTTAGTTTTTCTATTTAACCTGGTGACTTATTTTTCAAGCTTAATCCTCTTTGAGAAGGGCGTGAACTAATGTCTTATTATGGTATTAATTCTATAGTGGTCTTGCCTAAGTTTTGTGTGATACTCATTTTGGTATCTTTTCTAATGAATATGTTGTTTTACTTCTAACATAAGCCTGTAAGACAATTACAATCTTAGTGATTATATTTTTTATAGGTGTGTCCCTCGTGCCCACCTTGGAATGACCTTTACTTCCATCAAGCTTCTAGATCCTATTTGTATTGAGAGGATAAGGTGTAAGCATAACATTGCATCCGGTATTATTGTTGAACAGGTATATTGTGTTGTTTAACATTATCTATATATTGTCACACTTGCTATTAGTTTTCATAAAAAAATGTTCCTCGTGCATATTATGGTTTAATGATGGTCAATTAAACATTAGGTGTCAAAAGAATCGAATGTTGAGAAACTTGGAATCCGCAAGGGTGATATTATTGAATGTTCCAATGGAGAGTATATTTCTAGTACAACCGAGGTAAGGTATTTTTTTTAGGTAAAATGGAGAAAATAGTTTTTTTTATGTGACACTTTATGCTCTCGACTTTTGTACCTTGTTAGTTGGAAAAGATGTTGCTGGATATAGGCGGGGACCAATTTGATCAAGCAAAAGTCTTAAATGCTGAAATAGGTGTTCGAGTAAGTTACTATTATGCTTTAACTATGGAATGCTTAAATTTATGTCGACCATAGAAATTTGAAATAATATTGTTGACTTTACAGATTCAAATATTTCGTGCCACGAAACTTTGCCGAAGAGTTAGAAACTTGACCGTAATTGTATCGGATTGTGGAGAGAATATCATAGAAGGTAATCATCTTCCTAATGTAGTAGTAGATTTTTGTTATGATGAATTTAAGTCATCACATTTCTCTCTTGTGTCGATTCAATTTGTCTGTTCCCCCAATTTCCCTGAGCCTTTATTATAGTTTTTTTAATTTCTTGAATTCTTCCCGCCCCTTGCTTCATTGAATATAAATGTGATAATCACCAATATACCTGGCGTATTTGTTTGAACCTTGATGTTTTTATTTGTGTAGGCACTTACCCTATCACTGATGGCCTTCGGAAATGAGTGAATCAACACATACATTCGATTAACTGATTCTTTCATGAAGCAGATGGAATTAACACAATGCCAATTAAAGGCATAATTTTCAAATTATTTGTGTATCCTCAGTCAAAATTTTAGAACCATGGTTCCTATTTAAATGTAATTCATGGAACGTGGAAGGAACATGGCTATAGTAGAATCTAGCTACTTCTTTTGAGTTTTGTGAGACTCACAACTTGTACGATATGGACGATGAATTGAACTTCATAATCATGTTAGAGTTAAATGTTTGGCACAAGATTAATGTATTTACATAAAAATGTATATGTATGTGAACAAATATATAGGGGCTGTTTTGATGGTAGCCCACGGCCGCCCTACCAAATTATGAGCATTGACTGATGGACTATGCCTTTGCTTGGATGTTACCCAAAAATTCTGATCTTGCCAATATGTTTGTTGCCACTCCTAATTTTGTGCCCAGGCCAATTCTTGGCGGCGAACTCGCTTGCCAATAATTTTGGGACACCCACATTTGGTAAGGCCTATATTATTACTTTAAAGTGGCCCTTCTTTAGAATATTATGCTCAAATCACAAGCTAACACATATAGTAATTGCATTTATCCTTACAAAATATTTCTTCTTCGACCCCATCACCCACCATCTAAGCTTTATATTGCATTTCCTGCTATACCTCCTCTCATGTATCAAATGTCAAACTATAAGCTATAACCCCAACCTCTTTAAGGCATGTTATTCTTCTGCCACTATGAGTTTTACAAATGATATCACCCCCACCAAATCATGTGTTAGTGGTCTTGGATCAGATGTACCATCATCTAGTCATCCGGTTCACGGATTCATAGTCCGAAGATGTCATGTTGTCGTTGAGAGGGGCACCGACACTATAGATGTCATCGTCGTTGACGCGGAGGAAGTTTGCATAGGCATTCAGAACTGAGAGGCTAATGCCGGGGTGTTGTAGGCCCAGCGTCAGCAATCATCATCTGGTCCACTCGTTCTGGAAGCCAACAGGCACCTGACCAACATTCATAGTCCCAATACTAGCTAGCTCTCGACTCATTTAGCTGGCTGGTATCGCAAACCCAAGCCATAACGCCCTTTAGGTCTTCAAATCTCTTATGAAGATGGCACTTTTTTCTTGCTTCTCGGTACATTGTCGGAGGAAGAGTTGGAGGCTTGCTCTAGATCACCGGTCTCTTCTTTGTACATGTCTACAGTCACTGGTTTCAAAAGGCGACACGTGCATTTATGAGCCAATCCAAATCTAGAAAAGCATGAAACCATAAGATGAGCAAATCCTCGAAGAAACACATATAACTATAGATGTTTTACAATTTGCAAGGTTTTATTTTGTGCACTGTGCAATGATAGAATCTTTGAAGACAAGTAACAATTTTTGCCATTTGTCTGGACAACTTCTAGCATTGGCATTCAGGTTCATGTACAAAGTTGTAAATAATTATTACTCCCTCTGATCCAAATTAATTGTCGTAACTTTAGTTGCGACAATTAATTTGGGTCGGGGGGAGTATGATATTACCACTTTATACAAATTGGAAGAATGTTTTCTCAAAATTAACGTCACATACAGATCTAATGTTCTTGAAAGAAAAAAAGAGAACAAAAGAATTACTATAAAGAAATTTATGTGGCCACCTTGCTTCGATCTGCTTTGTTGTGCCCTAGGAGCGCCAGCCTCCTCTTTCGAGCACAAGATCTCATTAAATTCCACAAAGATCAGTCATGCCATGTCCATCCTAGCTTGCAAATCACAAATGTAATCCCAAGATTTATTTTTATCCTCCCACTTGGGCTCCGCATAGAACCTCACAGTGGCGGAGGCAGGGGGGTGCTGGCAGGGGCCAAGCCCCCCCCCCCCCTATGCTCTCACAAATACATCTATATGTCTCCTAATCTTCCATTTGTCAAACAAAATTAGCTAGGTTTAGGTGATTTGGCCCCCTCTAACATTATATAACATGTTTTGGCCCCTTCTATATTTAGTTTCTGGCTCTGCCACTGGAACCTCGTGAGCAGCCATTCAGTCCCATTGTTCACAATCGCATCAATACATTTTGTTATAGTGTCTTCACCACTATTTTGCAATCCTTCTTCCTCCACAACAGTAACAAACCTCCACTTCTTCCATCACTCTCATGGATTAGCATCTCATCAAACTTATATTTGTGCATCATTTCCCGCCTTGGTCTTCCCAAGGTATGATTCAGACAGGAATATCACATCGGAGTTTGATTGCCTCCGAAGATCCATAATGCGACCGAAGATCACCAATCGCTCTCACCACATCAAACCCGGACTAGGCCCGATCACAACTTCACGATCCAGCAACAAATCCCACAACACATGCTTCATCGGCCGAAGATGAGGAAGCGGTGAAATAGTCTACTCCTGGGACATGGTGCAAAACCAACATGGAATTTTGCAGTAGAGATTGGAGAACCAGCCGCGACGACACAAGGTCGCCGCCCTGGAACAAGAACGCCAACACCAATGCCTCCACCGGGAGCCGCGCGATGTGGACCTGTAAATCCTAGTCGCCTGGGTGATCACCTCTCATTAGAATAAAAGATGGTTTGGTAGGTTATGTTTGATGAATGTCAACTTTTCTCCAACTTAGGCTACTTCTTCCTTCTCTTAGATGGAATCCAAAACCTATTCATATTTGGCGGGGATGGATTTACACGGGACTAGCAGGGAGGAACCCCGCGACAATTATATAAGAGAGAATGTGAGACACGGAATTCGACTGACAACGGTTCGAACTCTAGTCGGCTGAGCGGCACCGCTGTGCTTCCACCATCGGAATATTCATGCACCTTGATCCTGTCTCAGGCTCATGCCATGACTTCACGCCAGCATTTATCGAGGCATCACTTTAGTTACTTTGTTTTTGCGTAGAGATCTCTTTAGTTATTTTATTAATGGGATTCGTCTTCGGAAAATTGGACTCAACTTGGTAGGATAGTGGATGCATTTCTTCCCAAAAGGGGGCATGCATAATCGCCGTCGAAGAGGAAATCAGTAAATCAAGTTTAAATTCAGAATTCAAAACTTGAATTGAAAAGCAAAGCAAGGGAAGGGAAGGGACGACGGCACCCAACCCCAACCCCTCCCTTTTCCCGCCCTTCTCCAGAAGATTCCCTCGTCCTTTGCCTTCCTCCGCCGCCGCCGCCGCCGCCGCCGGCGGCGGCGAAGGAAGAGAGTGAGGGGAGGATGGGGAGCCGGGAGTGGCCGCTGCCTCGCCTGTACGAGCTCTTCCTCGGTAAAGGCGACTGACACCCCAACCTAACCTAACCCAATCGACCGTCGACCCTCCCTCCGCCGGCCGTCTCATCGTTCGATTTCGCTTGCTGTGCAGAGCGCGACCGGTGGCCGCCGGAGGCCAGGTTCATCGAAGCCGCCCACCACGGCGACGTCCTCGAGATCAAGAGTAAGCGCCGCATTTCACCAAATCCCCGCACCTCCCTCCCTCCCTCTCTCTCCCCGGCGTCCCGGGTCATTTCGCTCGCTAGATCTGGCCGGAGGCTTAGGGTTTGGCTGCCTTGTGTGCTCCGCTTCCGATTTACCGCAGATTGTGGGCGAGATACGGCTCCAGGGGTCTCAATTTTGCTTGTGATTTAGGCTGGAGTGCTGGGGCTTGGGTTTTTTGTGGTCGCAAATGGGGGTTTTCAGACCAAATTCTTGGTCCCCTTCCTAAAAATCAGTAGAGATTCTTTATGATTCTGATTGCATTATTCACATACCACGTTCTTGTCTCAATCCCATGCCCCTGGCCATGTGGATCTTGCTGCTAGATTTTACGCCCGTGGAGCATGCTGTCAAACATGGCCACCTCCCTGCCATCAAGTACCTTCTTGACCATGGTGCTGATCTGCATCTGCAACGCGGAGATGGCACTCTTCTTCATTCAGCTACATCTCGTGGTACAAACAAATATGAAATTGCTGCTGTGATAAATATCTCTTCTTCCACGTCTGCATATCAATCAGTCTAATGATGTGTTGAGCATAGTTTTTTCTTTTGCGGGGAAGAAAGTTTAAGCATGTCACATTAATTCGAAATCCTGCTCAGTTATGAATGAAAAAACATTGTAGACATTACATTTACGAATTTGTCCACTGATCTTCTTATATGTTGTATTTTATTTTGTTCTAGCCATTGAAACTAGTTACCCCAAAATTTCTGTTTACTTGGTATTTAAATATAACTATCTTCTTATGTAAGTCTCGCTTGATAAGTAACTATTTAATATACCATCTAGTTCAAGCTGTTAAAAGTAGTCTGTTTCCCCCTAAATGAGTATGTATTCAGTATGACTACCAACTTATGGTAACCGATCATAGTAATTCTTTGTTTTCCTTATATTTATATTCAGTGAAAAGTGAACCATCAAAGTTGCTTTCCTCCTCTAGCTATTGAAACTTTCTTGCCAAGAAACAGTCGTAGAACACTACAATGTAGTAGCAGATATTATGTTAGAGAGCCTTCCATTGAATGTGGAGAGGAATGCAGTAGCGATGCAAGTGGATTTATTTTACCAAGAGCTAAGCTAACCTACGATAAACAATTTTATTTGTTGCTGTAAAAAAGAAACAGATTTTTGTTGCCATAAATCAGAACAACACCAACCTTAGTTGCTTCTCATGTTCATGAGCATCTGCATATTCTTCAGTCTTAAGAAACTTCTAAACATAGTTGTTACATTAATTCGGGTTTCTGTCTCACAAATGTGAAAATAGTCCCTGTGCCGTCAGGTTGGTACCAATTTTTTAAGGCACTGTATATACTCTTTTATTCCGTGGATCTTCTTGCACGATATCTATTTCATATGCTATTTTGTTCTAGCCATTGAAACGGATTTCCCAAAAAATGTCTGTTTACTTAGTAGATTAACTGTCTTTTTATGCAAATCTCCTGAGATAGCTATTTGATACACTATCTTGTTATGGCTGTTAGAAGTAATTTCCCCTTAAATGACTGTTTACTTAGTATGACTACGTCTTATGGTACTCTGATCATGGTAATTCTTTGTTTGCCATAAGTTTATTCAGGGAAATGTGGACCAGCAATAATGCTTTTCCCTCCTAGCTATTTTAAACTTCCTTGCCCAAAAATGTTTTCTCGTGTACTATTAACACTGTTATGATCTTTGTTTGCCTTCTTTTTCTCCAGGGCAATCTGAAATAGTAAAGTTTCTCCTTTCTAAAGGAGCTGATGTTGATGCAATATCAGATCTTGGGACACCACTCCTTCTTGCTGCTCTTAAAGGACATCCTAGTACTCTCAAGATCCTTTTGCAGCACGGTGCAGATGTACTATTCAAATGTTTTGTTGATATGTTGTCTTTTTAGTCCAGTTCTCTCTTTGCCGGGTCTTTGCTACATTCTCCAATTGCACACACCTGTATTTGAGGGTCTTTTTGGCCGGTAACTAACCATGCCACGCCAAAAGTTAGACAATTTGTTTGGCAACCGCACTTGTGGCAAGATTCTTTGCCGCAACATGGGTACCACGTGTCACTGACTCACAAAAATTGGGTAGGGTTCCTTAGGCTTGGCAAAGTATGGCAATCATTTTCATCATCCAACCATAGACATGCTTAGGCAAAAGTGTGGCAAATTTTGGCAACCTTCAGAAGAGTGGCAAATTTTGGCAACCTTCAGAAACCAACTAAGCAGAAATTGCTCATAGCTGTTACTGTTTGAGCCACATCAGGCATGGTGGGACTGGTGAACTACACAACAACTCTGAAAAATCACTGGGAACAAAGGGATATATAACTATATAAGCTATACTCTTAGAAAAGAAGTATCAGCTCAGCCCATTTTCCCTTCCAAATTCATTTTTCTCTTGAAACTGTGTCATATTTTGTCATGAAAATGAAGTACTTTGTTTAAATTTTCCAGCCCAACAAGGTTGCTGGTCTGTTTGGAATTATAGACGTGGCATTACACAAATCTTCTGTGTCCTGTGTGAAGCTATTGATTCAGGTATGGCATCCTTTGTTTATTATACTTCAGTAGGAATGTAGGATATCTATAAACTTATGTCTGATCTAGTTATCTCTGTATTAGCAACTAGACAACGGTATGATGGCTTGCCTTCTATATTTGATCTGATAGGGTGGAGCTAATGTGAGCGGTATTAATCATTTGGCAAAGGCTGCAGAGAAGGGCTTAACTGAAGCTATTAAGTGCTTGTTGGAAGCTGGTGCAAACCCAAATGTTGTTGACAGGGTGAGAATGCTTCTTTTTTTCACATATTCTCGTGTCTTGCTTGGCTATATAGTTTCAGTATACGTCTTATACTGATGTGCAACAACCATACGAGTTATGATGTAAGTACAGCTGCATCATGCTATCTGCAAAATAACAATAGAAGGCTGTGCTAAGTTACCTTTTTTTTTGCATAACTTGTTGCTGTTTCGCCTTTTCCCCTTGGTGTCGTGTCTTTGTTATTTTGGTCAGGTGAATAATATGGTTTGCATTAATCGTGCCTGGAACATTGCTTATTTACCTTTTTCCTCAACAGTTTGGTAGATTGCCAATAGAGTTGGCTGTTGAGTATGGTACACGGGAAGATGTCGAGATTCTCTTTCCTTTCACCTCTCCCATTTCAACTGTGGCCCATTGGAGCGTTGATGGAATCATTAGTCATGTGCAGATGGAAATCAAGCAACTTGAGGTATGTCAGTGTAGCAATTTTCTTGCACACCCAAGGCGATTTTGATTCCATGTTAATTCTCTGAGAAGTTTTGGCATCAAGTCGATGTTTAACTAAACTTCATAGATCAAGAATTGCCCAAGCTTAGTTTCCTCATCCTGCTAGTCAAATGCACATGTATTTTCTTGCATATGCATAGCTGTTAAAGCTCTGCTCTGAAAACTCTTTTTTATTTTACTTATTTTGCTCAAATGGTAATTCGCAAAGTCGTTTTATTTGAATGACGCTTTATTAAATAACATTTTGTTTGAATTATAGTTCATTTAATCTGATTCTGTTAAAAATAACGAGGAGACAAATTCATTTTTTAAATAGTGATCTCCTTCTAAAGTCTGAGTAGCAAGTGAAAACTGGATTTTCAGATCTTGCATTGATTAGAACATTTGTTTCTTGTATTCATTCACTTCACCTTAACATCTTGCTAGAGTACTGATTTTTCCCTCACGCGCATCTGACCTCTTAAGTTATGTATATATATCTGACTCATGTTATTGCGAGTTGCCCAGGATGATAATTTTGTGGAGAAGAGGATCTCTGACCTAAAGCAACAAGCAGCTGAAGCATTTAAGAAGCAGGATTACCTAAATGCATCAGTGTTCTACACACAGGTACGCTGCTGAAGTATTTTTTGTTTCTAGACTGGAGGCACAGCCATGAAACATGCTCCTCCATTACAATTTAGTTGATTTATTATGAAAATTGATTGGCCTTAACCATGTGTAAAAAATGACCAGTTACCTTGTAATGCTATCACATGTACTTGTTGAAAGACTAGTCACTAGTGTGTGCATCCTGTCGCACACACTAGTGTCTAGTCTGGAATGTCTAAACTGATCAGTGCTTCTGGAATGTGGCAGCAACAACAATTTTCCTCTGTTTTGTCTGTTGCAGGCACTGAAGATGGATAACTTTGACGCAAAGTTGTTATCAAACAGGAGCCTCTGCTGGCTTCGAATGGGTGATGGAGAAAGGTCTTATGATGATGCAACTGAATGCAAAAAGCTGCAGCCAATGTGGGCAAAGGCGTACTATCGGCAAGGAGCAGCTCAAATTTTAATGGAGGTGCAGTGGGATGGTTCAAACTGACAATTTCATTGCTCCTTTCACATGTGCCGTGTCATTTGATTCCACCGTGCGCTTGTGTTCCGTAGGATTATGATGATGCTTATCACTCACTCTTGCGTGCTTTGGAGTTGGACCCGGGAAGTCAAGAGATTGCGAAATTACTCTTGTAAGAGATTTCATCTTTAATCTTGTTTTTCCTTGACTGATTGATAACATTGTCAGCTGTTTCGGATTCTTAACAGGTATATTACATGTTTATATCCACTGATTCTTGCAGGGAGACTATTGAGGTGGAACTGGTATGATCAACCCCGCATGCATCTGCGGAGAGAAGCTCCTTTTTTTGTGGGTGTGTGTTCTCGGATTAAAACCCTGAACTTCAAATTATGGCGCCTTTCTGTACGTGATCTGTGGATTGTAGCAGCAGCTTAGAGCAGAACATCTTACTGGCTACCTATTTTGAGTTCTCTGAAACTCGCATCCTGTTAGTATGGAAGTGTGACAGTGGATGATGAACTGACTACCTATCCTATGAAAAGTGTAGCAATGTACTCCCTCCGTTTCTAAATATAGGTCTTTTTAGAGATTTCAGTACAGACTACAGGGGCATCCCTAAATGCTGCCATCCCCCAAATCTTGTGTAAGTGGTCCTGATGTATCACCACTGAGGCTGGAAAATCATGCACAAGAGGTGATTGCTCGAACCATTGCCATTGATCCGTTCATAGATTTTGGAACCTTGGCTTCTGCCGTTTGGGACGTTCCCTAGGGATATGGCCGCGGGCATGCTGGGCACGCCCATGAGCCACCTTGGTAGGCTTGGGTACGAAGGTTCGCTCTCGAGATTCGACAAGCTTTTGGCACAAATGAAGGTAGCCATTGTTGGACTTGAACTCTAATCCAGGCTGGCGTGAAGATTGGAGGGACGGGTGTTGGGCGAATTGGTATAGCGGGAGGAAAATAGGAAGATTCTCTCAAATCTTTATAAGGAGAGAGTAATGAAAATAAAAATTATGTTGTGATACTCATCTTGTTGCTTTCATTGCACAAACCTGATATATTCGTCCAAAGACTACTTTTTATTTAGAGAAACGGGCCTCCTCATCGTCACTAGTGGCTGGAAAAAAATTACACGTTTTTTCTTGTTGAGGGAACTACGGCGGGCAAAGCCATCCTGAACTCATTTTATTGATTTTTGTATTACAGAAAGTATTTACAAAGAAGGCCAAGGGAGAAAGAGGGAAATGAAAAACTTGTTGGCACATACTAGGTTTGTCCTTGTACCCAAAAAACACCAATACGGTCCTCGCTTTACACCACCAATCATTTGTCATTTGTCCACAGTATACTGACCCAAGAACAAAAACTGGTAAAAATAGCATCTCCCACCTGAAATTTCTCCCAATGAAATGGCAGACCGACACCAATGCATCCTTATTTTACTTTGAACAAAATTATCACCATGTTTTAATACCACTGACTCTAGGCATGCAATTTGTCCAGTCTGTGCTGTCCAGATAACCCTGTACAACAAGCTACTTAACTAGCATCTGCCCTACAACTTTCAGCTTGTCGCAATAAGGTCTAATTTTTTTCCCATGCGATCCAAAATGGACCAAAAGATAAAGGAACACAATAAGGTCTGAATATACTGATCTTCTGCCAAACATTTCACTCTAGCGCAGTTAGGAATTTCATCATCCACTGCTGCCACACTTCGGCATACTAACAGGATGCAAGTTTCAGATAACTCAAAATAAGTAGCCAGCAACATGATTTGCCCTAAGCATCTGCTAAGGTCCTCCATGAATCGCGCACAGAAAGGCGCCATAATTTAAAGTCCAGTATTTTGTCTGAGAACACACACACACACACACACACACACACGAAAGAGCTCCCATTCTGCCTGAGCTTCCCTCCGCAGTTGCACGATGATCACTTCAGCTCCATCGCCTCCCTGCAAAATTCGGTTGACCAAAACATTTAAGCAAGGAACAGATTCTACCAGTTACAGCAACAACAAGAATCTGCAGCAGCTAGCAGTGTTAACCTCAAGAAAGCACAAGATGGAAGATGGATTCCTTACCAGAATAGTTTCTCGATCTCTTCGCTTTCCGGGTCCAACTCCAGAGCCCGCGACAGTGAGGAATACGCAGCATCATACTCCTGCGCAACACAAGAGCACGGTGGAATCAAATGACGTGACACATGTGAAAGCAGCAATGAAATCGTCAGTTTCAACCCTCCCACTGCATGCACCTTCATGAACATTAGAGCTGCCCCTGCCCGATAGTGCGCCTTTGCCCACTTCGGGCGCAGCTTTGTGCAGTCAGCTGCATCCTCATAAGCCCTTCGCCCTTCACCCATGCGAAGCAAGCAGAGGCTCCTGTTTGATAACAGCTTGGTGTCGAAGTTATCCATCTTCAGTGCCTACACCAGATGATACGGTGAAAACTTGCTCTAGTTGCCACATTCCAGAAATGCTTGGATCACTTTACACGACCAATCATTTGTCATTTGTCCTCGTACAATGACCAAGAAACGAAAACAGTGATAGAAGGCCATCTGCCACCTGAAATTTATTGGCCCAGACAACGCCACCGAATACTTTCCGATGACACGCGACGACCGACACGAAAGACAACGAACGCTGAGCTTTATTCCGCTACCGATCAACCTCGCTGTTGGTCGTGCACGTAAACAGCAAAAGCAGCGCACCAGATTGATTAGTCCGGCAGAAGCTCACGTACGTATAGCTAACTGATCAATTGAAGTATCGATCTAACAGTAGCACTAGTACTCACACACACGGAGGCTTGGCTTATTGCCACAGGCTCGTCTAGCTCTTTACCTATTCGGAGTTCTAATCGACACATAGTATGAGTCAGGTTTAATTCCAACAAAATTCCTCCCGACGAAATGGAAGATCGACATCAATGCATTCTTGTTTTATTTTCAATGAAAGTGTCCCCATTGTTTTTTACCACTAGCTCTAGAATGGAACTTCTCAAGACTATGCTGTCCAGCTAATACTACATACTGTGACAAGATGCACACACCAGTGACTAATCTCTCAACAAGTTCATGTGATAGCATTACAAGATAACTGGTCAGTTTTTACACATTGCAAAGGTCAATCAATTTTAATAATATGGATCAGCCAAATTGTAATGGAGGAACATGTTTCATGGCTGTACCTCCAGTCTAGAAAGAAAAAAATAGCCTGACAATATACCTGTGTGTAGAACACTGATGCATTTTGATAATCCTGCTTCTTAAATGCTTCATCCCCTTGTTGTTTTAAGTCAGACATCTTCTTTTTCACAAAACTACCATCCTGGACAACTCACAATAGCTTGAGTCAGACCTCTTATATACATATTCAACTTGGGAGGTCAGATGCATTTGAGGAAGAATCATTACTCTACTAAGATGTTAATGTGAAGTGAATGAATCCAAGAAATAGTTGTAATCAATGCAAGATTTAAAAAATCAGTTCTCACTTGCTAAGCAGACAGGAAATGGAGAGAACTATTTAAGAAGATGAATCTGCCTCCTTGTTATTTTTGAAAAAAAAAACAGACTTCATGAATTACAATTTGAGCAGAGTGACATATGAGAAAAACAAGATATCCAATAAACATCATTCCAATAAAATGAGTTTTCAGAACAGAGCTTAAACAGTGATGCAGATGCAAGAAAATACATGTGCGTTTGACGAGCAGGAATAGGAAACTAAGCTTCGGGAAATTCAGATTCTTGTTCTATGAAGTTTTAGTTAAATGCCTACTCGATGCCAACATCGTCCAGAGAGTTAAGGTGGACAAAATTGCCATGGGCATGCAAGAAATTTGCCACAACTACGTACCTCGAGTTGCTTGATTTCCATCTCCACATGCTTAATGATTCCATCAACAGTCCAATTGGCCACGGTTGAAATGGGAGAGGTGAAAGGAAAGAGAATCTCGACGTCTTCTCGTGTACCATACTCAGCAGCCAACTCTATTGGCAATCTACCAAACTGGTGAGGGACAAGCGAAGCTTTAGCAAAGAGATTTTCAACATTTAGGAAATAAGCAATGTTGTCGACACTACTACTTAAAACCGTATTACTCAACTGACCAAATTAACAAAATACATGGCACAAAGGGGGAAAGGCGAAACAGCGACAAGCTTATGTAAAAAAATGCAGCTTAGCATAATGTTGCTGTACTTATGTCATAACTGGTAAGGATGTTGCATATCAATTTAAGACATGTATACTGAAACTACAAAGCCAAGCAAGACACAAGAATATGTGGCAAAAAGAGAGCATTCTCACCCTGTCAATAACATTTGGGTTTGCACCAGCTTCCACCAAACACTTAATAGCTTCAGTTAGGCCCTTCTCTGCAGCCTTTGCCAAAGGATTATCGCCGTTCACATTAGTCCCACCCTATCAGATGCAAACATAGAAGACAAGCCCATCAAACAATTTTCTAGTTGCTAATACAGAGATAACTAAATCAAACATCGGTTTATAGAAATCCTATATTCCTACTGAAATATCATTAATAAACAGAGGATACTGTACCTGAACCAATAGCTTCACACAGGAGACAAAGGATTTGTTTAATGCCACGTCTAAAGGTACAAACACACCATTACCCTTGTTGGGCTGGAAAAATAAATAAAAGAAATTAATGCCATGTCAAAATATGACCCAAGAGAAAGACAACATTTGTAAGGGGAAAAAAAAGCTGAGCTGATACTTCTTTCTAAGAGCATAGCTTATATAGTGTGGGTCACCAGTGATTTTTCAGAGTTCTTGTGTGGGTCACCAGTGCCACCACGCCTGGTGTGGCTCACACATAACAGCTATTAGCAGAGCATGCTTGACTGGTTTGCGAAGGTTGCTGATATTTGCCATACTTTTTACTAAGCATGTCGATGATGAAAATGAGTGTCATACTTTGCCAAGCCTAAGGGAAGCCGACCACACTTTTTTGGAGTCAGTAACATAGGACACATGTTGCAGGAAAAGAATAATGCGGCAAGCGCAGATGTCGAACAAACAGGTAAGTAACTAAGTCAAAGTCACTAACCAAAAAGACCCTCAAATACAGGTGGGGCAATTGGACAGCATAGCAAAAACCCAGCAAAAAAGAGAACAGGAGTTAAAAGATGACATAACAAAAGATTTGAAAAGTACATCTGCATTGTGCTGCAAAAGGATCTTCAGAATACTAGCATGTCCTCTAAGAGAAGCAAGAGTGAGTGGTGTCCCAGCATCTGATAGTGCATCAACATCAGCTCCTTTAGAAAGAAGAAACTTTACTATTTCAGACCGCCCTGGAGAAAAAGAAGGAAAACAAAGATTATACCACTAATAACAGTACATGAAAATGTTTTTGGGCAAGAAAGTTTCAGTATGTAGAAGGGATAAGCAATATTGCTGCTCCACAATTCCCTGAATAAGCATATGGCAAACAAAGAATTACCATCATCGGTTACCATAAGACATAGTCATAGTAAATAAACAGTCATCTGAGAGAAAACTACTTCTAACAGCCAGAACAAGATAGTGTATCAAATAGTTATCCCGAAAGACTTGCATAAATAGACAGTTAACATACTAAGTAAACAGACATTTTTTGGGAACTTGTTTCACTGGCTAGAACAAAATAGTATGTGAAATAGATATCCTGCAAGAAGATCCACAGACAAATAAGGTATATACAATGCCTAAAGAAATTGGTACCACCATGATGACAAATGGAGTATTTTACATTTGTGAGAGACAGAAACCCAAATTAATGTGACGACTATGTTAAAAGTTTACGGCTAAAAAGACTCAATATGCAGATGCTGATGAACATGAGAAGCAAATAAGATCTGAGTTGTTTTAATTTATGGCAACAAGAAAGCTATTCTTTTACAGCAGCATTTTTTTTATCTTAGGATAGCTTAGCTCTTGGTAAAGTAAATTCAAGTGTATCCCCACAGCATTTATCTCCACATTCAACAGAAGGCTCTCCGACATAACGCCTGCTGGTACATGGTAGAATTCTACTCCCTCCGTAAACTAATATAAGAGCGTTTAGAATACTAAAGTAGTTATCTAAACACTCTTATATTAGTTTACAGAGGGAGTACAACTGTTTTTGGGTAACCAGGTTTCAATTGCTAGAGGGGGGAAGCAACTTTGTTGGTTCACATTTCACTGAGTAAACATTCGGAATACGAAGAATTACTATGAGCAGTTACCACAACTTGGGATTTCATACTTTTGTTGTTATACCTCTCAGGTCTCATCTATGCTGCTGCTAACAACATATATTTCAGAAACAGACATTCATAACATCGATAAGAAACATAATAAGTAAACAGACATTTACTAGTTTCAATGGCTAGAACAAAATGAAATATGACATATATATATAAGAAGAAAACAGACATTAGCAAGTTTCAGTGGCCGCTAGAACAAAATAAAATATGGCATATAAGTACATCAACCGACAAATGTGGTAAATATACTGCCTTCAAAAACTGGTAGCAATATGATGGCACATGGATTTTCATTTTCGCATATCTGAGAGCAGCAGAAAATTTTACAAGATTGGCCCTTATGCAGATGCTGATAAACATGAGAAGCCAAAAAGATCAGAGTTGTTATAATTTAGAGCAACAAGAAAAGAAAAAGTGTTCGGTTTACAGCAGTAGGAAAATTGTTTATCTTAGGTTAGCTTAGCCCTTGTAAAATGATTTCACTTCATCGCCACATCATTCGTCTCCACATTCAACTAACCTCTGCTGCTACACAGTGCAGTTCTACGACTGTTTTTGGGCAACAAAGTTTCAGTAGCTAGAGGGGGAAAGCAGCTTTCAAGCTTTGTTGGTTCACATTTGACTGAGCAAACATTCGGAACGCGAAGAATTACTATTATCAGTTACCATAAGTTGGTAGTCATGAATGCTCGTTTAGGTAGGTGTAAACTGCTTTTAACAGCTTGAAGCAAAACAAGGACAGATATCTCAGAAACCAATCCTGGCACTGAAGGAAGGCCAGATATATAACAACAAAGGGAAAAGATCCTCTTGTCTGTACCATGAACTGCAGCTGTATGAAGAAGAGTGAGGGTGGAACGTTCCTGGTGCAGATCGGCGCCGTGGTCAAGAAGGTACCTGACGGCAGGGAGGTGTCCATTCTGGACAGCATACTCCAAGGGCGTAAAACCTAGAAGCCAGTTGATGGTTAAGTCATAAATTAGACCCATTTTCTCACATTGTAGTAAGTACCCACCATGTAGTGATCTAAACGATCTGATATTTCTTCACAGAGGGAGTACATTTTATCTAAGACGAGAAAGGAAATGCACGTGTTCATTAGCACAGATTACCCTGAGCGGTGTCGGGTTTCCCGGCGTCCATCTTGAGCTCCTCGACGAGGTACCGGTAGACCGGCAGGCTGCCACAGCCGCCGGCGGCGTCCAGCACGTTCATTCCCATGTAGGTGGTGTTGGCCACCGTCGCCGGGATGCCGTGCCCATGCACGTCCAGCTCCTTTGCGATCTCTGCAGTTCAGACATGAAAAAGGGGGCACTTTTTTTAGCTACGAATCGTAGCAAGAATCCCATGGTATACTGCAGTTCCATCAAATTGGAGTACTAATTAAGAAATGTCACTGCTCTGCAACTAGAAAAGCCCCCCAAATTCCCAGCTTCGCTGCTAATCGTAGAAATCGCAGCAAGAATCCCGTAGCAAAAAAAGAAAGAAATCGGCACTGGTCTGCAGCTAGAAAACCCCAGCATCAGGCACCCGGAGCCGCCGCATGTCGGCCAACGAAATGGGAAGGCAGCGGCCGGCGCGCGCACGTACGGTGGCTGAATCGACCCTATGCGCCCGGCCCGGACAGATCTAGAGCAGACGGACGGCGGCGAGGGCAGAGAGGGGGGGTGGGGGGGCTTACTCTTGAGTTTGCGGACGCTGCCGTTGTGGGCGGCGCAGATGAGCCTGGCCTCCAGCGGCCACCGGTCACGCTCTGCACAATAACAAGAAAAATCAATCGAACGGTGAGACGTACGGCCGGCCGGCGAAGGGAGGCACAGACAGAGCGACGGATTCGGTCACCTTTGCCGAGGAGGAGCTCGAAGCACATCGGCAGCGGCAGCTCCCGGGTCCCCATCCTCTCTCTTCGCCGGCGGTGAAGATGGCGGTGGGCGGCAGAGCCAGGCGAGGAACTGAGGAAGGGAGGAAGCTTCTGGAGTCGGGGAGAAGGGCGGGAAACGGGGGAGCGCGTGGGTGGGGGACGCAATGGGAGGTCGACACGCGCCCTCCCGCTGACCGTACGATCTGACACTCGTGACACAAGCCACGGGCACGCCCTCTCCCCTCCCCTTTGCTCTGCCTCTTCGGTTCAAATTTCGAAATTTGAACTTCCCTCTCGCCACCGCTTCTACTTCTTGGACGGGCAGTTGGGGGAGAAAACACCTTAGGCCTCTTTTGGTTCATAGGATTGAAAAATCATAGGAACAGAAAAGTCATAGAAAATGAGATGACATGCATCTCAAATCCTATGCATAGAAATAAAAAAAAGATGCCCTTTGATTCACACCATAAGATTTTTTCCATTCAGGCCTCCTTTGGTTTGTAAGATTTTTGTAGGAATTTCATAGGATAGGGTTTTTGTAGGAAAAATTCCTTTAGAGCCCTTTGGTTTGTAGGAATGGAATCCTATTCCTATGGAGGAATTCTTCCTATCCTTCACATTTCATAGGAAAAAAAACATTAGCCTAAACTCAATGAAAAAAATCCTATGAAGTGAATCAAATGACATATTCTTTCCTATTCCTACTTATAAGATTTGAGATGCATGCCATCTCATTTCCTATGACTTTTCTATTCCTATGATTTTCCTACCCTATGAACCAAAGGAGGCCTCAGTCTAGGCTAATGTTTATTTACTTATGAAATGTGGAGGATAGGAAGAATTCTTCCATAGGAATAGGATTCCATTCCTACAAACCAAAGAGCTATGAAGGAATTTTTCCTATAGAAATCCTATCCTATGAAAATCCTACAAAATTCCTCCAAAACCAAAGGAGGCCTTAGCTTTGATGGTTCATGCTTGTACCAAAAAAACGTCTTAGGCCTTCTTTGGTTCATAGGATAGGAATTTTATAGGAATAGAAAAATTATAGGAAGTGAGATGACATGCATGTCTTCCCAATTCCTATAGAGAAAGATTTGGTGCATAGGATAGGATTTTTTTCCGTTAAGTCTAGCCTAATGTTTTTTTCCTTTCAAAATGTGAAGGATTGATTCCTATCCTACACAGGAATAGGAATCCATTCCTATAAACCAAAGGGCTTCAAAGGAATTTTTCCTTTGCAAATCTCATCCTATAGAATTCCTACAAAAATCCTACAAACCAAAGGAGGCCTTATATCCCACACAAAGGGAGTAGTAGTTCTTTATAAGGGCATCTTCGATGCCGACCCTCAAACCATCCGGACTGCGCGGTCAGGACGTGTTTTGCTACCCAACGCGGTGTTGTATCGGTTCAAAGGCCGGTCCGGACGTGCTTCCGTGGCCTATCCAAAACCCTCCTCCCTCGCCCGTGTGCGTTCCTGCCCGGTATCAGCTGCCCGCATTCATACCGCTGTAGAGCGGCCGCTGTACATTGATGCTGGCCCAGAGCGGACACGGCCTCTCATTGGCGTCATCATTGAAGCGACACACCGGCCGAGAGAGCGCAGCCCGCTGCATGTCCGGCTGAACACGCCTCCTCACATGTCTCCATTAAATCCACACGTGTGCCGAGAGACCTACTCCGGCCACACGTCCATTCGTGAAACTAGTCGGCATTAAACACAATTCCGGTTGGCTTCTCGCTCCATTGGCTATTTAAAAGAGCCCAAACACGGGGCAAGAACCGCACCACAACTCCGCTCTCCATCTCCTCGGTGCACCGTATTCTCACACTCTACATGTCACTTTAAAAAATCCGGCGAGCAGGAAGAAGGGTTCTCCGGCATAAATGTCGGCTGGGTGGCCCATGTCGAGCCCGCCGGATATGAGCTAGCCGCCAGTACCATGAGTGAGGTTGCAGGCTGGTGCACAGAGGAACAAGTGGCCGCTCCAAGCCGGCGCGTGGTTCCGCAACTCGCCGCTTCAAACCAGCTCACCGAGGAGCGGCGAGTTGCTCCAGGCCGGCACGCGGTGGAACACGGCGACATGGGCGAAGTTGCTGGCGTGGACGAGGCAGTGTCGTACCGCTCCTCTCACGCCATCATCCATCAACGTGCGCAGAACGGCGCCCTACCGGCGGAGAAAGAAGTCGGCTTCGCGGAGATCAACAACGCGGCCAGCACCTTCGTGGCCGTCACCGCTTGGGTCCCATGAAGGCCACTGTCGGCACGTCGCCGACGTGCATAGCCGGTGTCCTACACGCTTCGCAGGCCACCGTTGTCCCCCGCCCCAAAAACCAACTCTGATTCATGCTTCACGGAGGGAGCTAAAAATAAAAAAGGGTCTTCACATATTTGGAGGGCCATCCTGCATGGCAGAGAGGGTCTGAAAGTAGTAGGCTTAATAAAAAGAGTTGGGGATGGATCGTCACGACCAGTACAACGGGCTACGATGGGGTCAAGGGCTCTAACCTTGGGGGCCCAGCGCACAGCGAATCAGGCGAGCGGGAGGAGAAGAAGACGCTGAAGAGTGGGCCAGGCAGCGAGTGAGAGTGTGTGTGTGAGCTGGCCTGCGTGCCGGGCTGGTGTTATATGAGGCGTGCGTTGAGTGAGTCAGGGCATCGAGAATTATTGTAACCGAATATCCTTAAGAGAAGCTGATCTTGTCTGGCCTCCTTCCTCTCCTCCCTGCTACCTACTCCTCCTTTCCCAGATCTAGATCGGACCCATTACATGGATCTTCTATCAGGCCTTGGGACGGTCTGTGGATTCCATCTAATAATGGACCCATTACAGTTGGTATCAGAGGTCAGCCGACCTGGAGACAGCGTACCCCCGACCACGCTACACCACCAAGCAGGCGCTCAAGACGGCGGCGATGGAGGAGCAACTCGCGGTGTTGATCCTGTCGGTCAAGGAGGGTCGCGCCGCCAACAACGCCAAGCTAGAGGCGATCCAGCGGTCGCTGGAGCTTTGGCGACCAGCGGTCCAGAACCTGCAAGGTCAGATCGATGAGCTCCGAACTCAAGTGGGTCGAATCGCGCTGCATCCCGTACTCGCGGATCCAGCGGCCACCGAGGAAGGAACCACGCGGGCGCCACCGCCTGCCGCGTCGGAGCACTCAGGGCCAAGTGGCCACGACGAGATCGACGACTCCGGGGGCTTGGTTCACGGGGTGGTCACCACCTTGGTACCGCCTCCGATCAAGGGTGCGTTACCTTCTTCTCTGCTAATCCAGTACAAGGGGATCTGGAGTTGGTTCGTGGGTCTATGAGTGAAGGGCTACAACATCACACCCAGTGTGCGCCGCTCGCGCATTGGGCCCTGCCCAAACTTGATTTTCCACAATTCGATGGGGATAACCCTCAATTCTGGAAAACTAAGTGTGAAAAGTATTTTGATGTCTATGGAGTCAGTAAAGATGTGTGGGTGCGGGTGGCGACCTTGCACTTCACGGGTAACGCTGCCCGATGGCTGCAATTGTATGAGTCGAGGATGAAAACAATAGAGTGGGAAGAGTTGTGTGCTGCACTCTGTAGCAAATTCGGACGCGGCCAATATCAGGCGCAACTCCATCAATTTGCTCAGTTATCGCAGACGGGTTCGGTGTCGGATTACATGACCCAATTCGAGGAGTTGATGCATAATCTGCTAGCACACAATCCTGGGTTTGATCCACTGTATTTCACTACCAAGTTCTTAGATGGGTTGCGTTCAGATATTCGATCTGGTGTGGTTTTGCACCGTCCAAAAGACCTCGATGCTGCCTATTCCTTGTCTCTGTTACAGGAGGATCTATTGGAAGCACAGCCGCGGTGCGATTATCGGCGGCAGGAGCAGCCGTCGGCGCGGGGACAACCACGTCTGGTGCTGGCACCACCGCCCCAGAGAGCCTTGCTGCCTGCACCACCAGCAATAGCAGAAGATCGTCGGGGGTTGGACGGAGCCCGGGGGGCGGGTGTCTCTACTATTCCCAAAACTTTGTGTGATTTGCTAGATTTCCATAATTTTGATGATTGCTCTCTAAACTTGCATCTTGCGGATTCCACTATTAAGAAACCTATGGGAAGAATTAATGATGTTCTTATTGTTGCAAATAGGAATTATGTGCCCGTAGATTTTATCGTTCTTGATATAGATTGCAATCCTTCCTGCCCTATTATTCTCGGTAGACCTTTCCTTAGAACGGTTGGTGCAATTATTGATATGAAGGAAGGGAACATTAGATTTCAATTTCCATTAAAAAAGGGCATGGAACACTTCCCTAGAAAGAAAATAAAATTACCATATGAATCTATATTGAGAGCCACTTATGGATTGCCTACCAAAGATGGCAATACCTAGATCTATTCTTGCTTGTTATGCCTAGCTAGGGGCGTTAAACGATAGCGCTTGTTGGGAGGCAACCCAATTTTATTTTTATTCCTTGCCTTTTGCTCCTGTTTAGTAATAAATAATTTATTTAGCCTCTGTTTTGGTTGTGTTTTTTGTGTTTAATTAGTGTTTGTGCCAAGTAGAACCGTTGGGAAGACTTGGGGAAAGCCTTGTTGAACTTGCTGTAAAAAACAGAAACTTTAGCGCTCACGAGAACTGCTGTAATTTTTATTTGGAGAGTGATATTTAGTTAATTCTTTTTGCAGATTATTAATAGCTAAATTCCTCACGTCCAGCAATTTATTTTAGAATTTTTGGGGTTCCAGATCTTGCGCTAGCTACAGATTACTACAGACTGTTCTGTTTTTGACAGATTCTGTTTTTCGTGTGTTGTTTGCTTATTTTGATGAATCTATGGCTAGTAAAATATTTTATAATCCATATAGAAGTTGGAATATAGTAGGTATAGCACCCATATAAATAAAGAATGAGTTCATTACAGTACCTTGAAGTGGTCTTTTGTTTTCTTTCGCTAACGGAGCTCACGAGTTTTCTACTTTAAGTTTTATGTTGTGAAGTTTTCAAGTTTTGGGTAAAGATTTGATGGACTATGGAACAAGGA